AGAGGGATATCTGAGTAGGGCCAAGCACGCTCCCACACAATCTTGAACATAGTGCATCGCCGTAAGCTCTGGGATGTCTACGGAATGATTGCAAACCCTCTTCAGCGTGAAGCCAGATGCAAGTCACTGAGAACGATAACGGCTCACATGGCTTGCAGACACTACATCGGGAAGGCTCAACCCAGCACACAGAATAAGAAGGATCACGTCATCCGGGAGGGATGTGAATGGCATGCCTAATGGTAGACTGGCGCTGATAACCCGACTCAACGAGATGGTTGCAGGAGGGAGCGAAGTGCAGTCTAAAGCCAACGAGCTAGCTCCACTGACAGATAAGATCTGCGTGTGGTGCAAATCAAGGAGAGCGGGAATGTCGACAAGTTGTCAGATGTTGACTCAGTGATTGGCGGCGGTCCAAGTCCTCACCGGAATGACCGAAACCCAAGTACGTGGGACAAATCACCTGGGGTTTATGGCGGCATAAAAAAAGCGTGCATTAGCGGCGAATCGAACGCCGGCCGAGTCGAGCTTGGATGATGGCAACGACCCATTCTACCACTGAACTACTAATGCGTTCCTGCCACGTGTGTCGACAAAGACAATTTCCATCTTCGCCTCAAACGTCTAGCTCTTTAAATAGAATTTCTCCCTCGAATATCACTGACTTTCATCACGAATTATGAGAATTAACGACGATGTCATTGGATGTAGCAACGCTTTCACAAACAACAAATTGATCTTCACCAAAATCCCAGACAACGGAAAAAAAAGTATAAAGGGATGCTATGTAGTTATGGGACCCGACTTGAGAAGAACGGGCAGGGAATTTTGCTCGAAGGAAAATAATAGGGGGGTAAAAGAGGGTGTGGATAGGATAGAAGAAGAAAAAGACAGAAAGAAAGACAAACAAACAACAAGATTAGAAGAAAAACCCAGACCCTCAGTAGCAGAAAGCGTTATCAAGGGACGTAATCTACGACGTGTGGATTCATCACAAAATGTAGCGGTAAGCTAATATGACAGAAAAGAAAGTCAGCGGGCTGAGAGTGAAAGGATACTCGGGAAGAAACAAAGGAGGACTCACCAGGATGCGAATCACCGAGCTCGATGATCTGCTCCTCGGACATGCCCTCGAGGCCCCATCGTCTCCTCTTCTCGTCGCTGATGGGCTTGCGCACACTGGCGTCACTCCCGTCTGCGGCAACCTCACCGTAGAGTTCGTCCCTGCGGTTGTTCTCGCGTCCGTTGGCGATCATCATGATAATAGCGCAGACAATCGCCATGAACGAGAAGCCAACGGCGACACCGTGACCCTCGAAGAAACGGGGGGCAGTGCGTGCAGGGTAGACGTTCGAGGAGATGATACCGGCACTGTTACCAGTGGAGAAGAGCAGACCCATGGCCGCAGCACGAGTGTGGATGGGGCCGACGCTGGATAAGGGAAGGAAAGTCAGGTTAGAACCCGCGTAGTATGCTTGAAAGATATGGATTAGGGACTCACTTGTTGCCAATCCAGGTAATGCAGGTGGAGATGCAAGGACTGACACCAGCAACGCAAAGGAAGATACCGAAGTACTTGGCACCAGCGCTGACGTGGCACAGCTGGATAATGTAGCCCACAATGGTGATGAGCATACCGCCAATAATGAATGGACCACGCTTGACCACACGATCTGAGTACCAGCCAACGAGGAGAGTGGTGATGAACCCAAGAACATAGGGAGGCACGGAGAGGAGGTTAGCGTTGGCGTTGGTGAACCCAAGAGCGGCGATAATGGATGGGGTGAAGAGGGCAAGAGAGTAGAAGGGCTGGGCAATGCCGATGTACCTGCAGAGAGTATGTGTCGTTAGTTGGTTCATTATTTTCTGTAGGGACTTGTCACTAACATCAGAGCATAGACGTAGGTCTTCCAGTCGGCGAAAGCACGCTTGACGAGCCTCATGGAGAAGGGGATGGGAGTGTTGGTGACACCCTGGTTCTGTTGCAGACGGTAGAGCCACTTCTTCTGCTCCTGGCCGTTCAAGACACGGCCATCCTCAGGGAAATCGGGGATCAGCCACCAGGCGGGGATGGCACAGATAAAGGTAAGAAGACCCTCGAGGATGAAGCTAAGAGAATAGCAAAGTGCTTTAGTTTAGATCTGCAGCAGAAACGGCAAGCGAATAACCAACTCACATCCAGGCCCAACCGCCCTTGCCTCCATCACCGTCCATGTGGCGGATACCGTATGCGAGGATGCCTGTTGATCACACCATGTTGAATGTCAAGTTGACGGCCCGAAGATTGCCATTGAACAACAAGAGAAACCAATGCATTTACACATTAGACACGCTGATCACCCCGTCGACGATTGGGGAAGGAAAATCACTCGCCTCCGAAGGCACCAGCCAGTGTTGAGCCGGCGAAGAAGAAAGAAATGACCAAGTTTTGCTCATTTCGGTTGTACCAGGTGGTGAGGACAAAGTTAAGACCAGGGAAGAGACCGCCTAATTAGAATATTCGATAAGAATCAAGGTCGTTAGGGTGTGCAAGCTTGATTATTGGAAATTAAGGGAGTTGCTGCATACCTTCGGCGAGACCAAGCATGAATCGAGTCGCAATGATGCCGCCATAGTTGGTAGTAACACCCATGAGAGCTGAAATTGCCAAAGTAGAAGAAACGAGGGTAGTAGCATGACCGGCGCGTATGAATGGGATTCAACAATTGAATTAGTCAGCAAGGGCAGTCCAAAAGAATGTAATGCGTGGTACATACTCATGACGATCGCCCACGAGATCATGATGAAGGTGATCCATCTGGGAGAAGCGGCCAGGAGTTACCGGATAGCAGCCAGCGATGCAAGATGCGGTTGGAGTAGCGCCCAGGTGTCAATATCAGCCGAGACCGATTGCACGACGCATCCCGACGCGCGCCCAGCATAAGGTTCGCGAGATAAAAAGGGAAAAATGGAGGGGACGGGAATGCAGATCATTATTTCATTATGTGCGAGAGTAGATGCCGCGAAATTGATGAATTTGAAGCGATCAGCATTCGTCGCCAGCCAGACCCATATGGGCGCAAAAAGTGAAGAAAAAAGAGATGAAGTGTCAGAATTCTTGCGTTTCAAACGTTGCAGGCTTAGTCAAGATGGGTGGCAAAGAAACGAGTGGGATGACATCCGATCCCCGCCGTATGAAGAGAGAGGAAAGAGAAAAAGGAAGTATCAAAAGAGGCATAAGAGAAATGAAAGCTCACCGATGCGGCTTAAGCCACTTGAGGGCCAAGTTGGATGGGATCTCGAACGCGACGTAGGAGACGAAGAAGACGGTGAGGGCAATGGTGTATTGGTGGTCGGTGATGTGGAGGCCCTTCTCGAGGCCGGCCAACTTTGCTTGGCCGATGTTGACCTATTGTTAGCCATTTGGGGATTTGTGGAAAATCAAGACCGAGTGCCGGTGCCATTAGGCGAACCCAAAGGAATTGCAAATTTTGAGTGTGGTAAGCAAATTGCCACATTGGAGTTCAACCAGCAGTGGGAGAGAAAGAGTACGCACTCGGTCAAGGAAACCTGTGAGTACCGATCCGGGTCAAATGCGGGGAAGGACGTTCGGCCGAAACGGCGATGCGGGACGCAGCGTCAAAAAGCAAGAAAAAACGTGAGTGGAGCCAGCTGGTGAATGCTCATGATCCGATGGGGTTACGCACTGAGGAGGTAGAGGAGCGAGCAGTAGGGCAGAATGCGCCAGTCAACCCTGCGTCGGAGTTTGCGGTACTCAGCGGGGGTCATCTCCAGTGCAGCGTCGCCTCCCGTGGTGCTAGTGGCAAGCTCAGAGTCATTGAGCGACTCATCGCGCTTCTCTGGAGCCATCTCCTTCTCGATAGTGGCCATGAGGGGTTAAAGCAAGGGTGCCTTGAGGGGGATGGTGGCGCAAAGGACCGCTGCTCGCTGGCGGTGGTGGTGGGGGCTTGCTGCGAGAGAGCGAGTGGAGGGTGGGAGTGGAGATGCCGGGAACCCAAGGGCAAGATATGCTTCAGTTATGAGGGGTGGAGCTCCACATTCAATTTCTCCTGGCTTTCCCCTTCTGCCGGTTCGCTCGAGTAATAACTAAGCTCTGCTTATTTCTAAGATTGTATCCATGTTCAGTAGCGATGAATATTCACTCCTCCCCCCCGTCGCATATACTTTCGCCGAGACATAATATCTGGTCCCACCAAACTATCTCGCTCAAACATAAACAGGGAATACCTTCCGTACAGTGCCCGCCGTCGGTCTGAGCATGCCCAGCAGGAAACTAGTGGCTTTGCCGCTACCAGACAACACCTGATGTTCGGCTTGAAGGCCCAACCGGGTGCTATATTCTACCCCGCACACCCCGCGATCCCGTGATGATGGGGCTCAATCTGTCTATTATCGATGGCTGTACGTTGACCCGACTAGTCGAGCGACCATCTGTCAATCCACCACCTCCTTTTTTTAGCTGACAGGCTGAGCTCATCCCTGATCATGGGACGATGTCGCCGGCCAAGTGGCGGGGAACGTGTTTGTAGGTGGCTTGGTGGATTCAATACCAAAAAACCGATGAACAAGTGGGAGCCGATATGGATCAATAAGACGGCTTGCCATACCCATCCTATCAGACCCCCAAAGCTGAGACAGGCATCAGGAGTATAATAGATCTATATATTTTATACGTTACAAAGATAATGATGGTAAGCAGATCTGCTTTGAGCACAGGTATTACGATCGACATCCGGGTATGAAGAGGGCGCCCAGAAGCAGGTAGCCAGGCCAACGATGGCATCGGAGTTGTGTACTTCAAGGCCGTTTTGATCCTCAGGAACCCGATGTGACCGATAGTCCATGCCATCGGAAAAGGTTCGCGCATTTCTAGAAAGAACGCCTCCACCTTCAATGAAGCACACGTACGAACGCAACCAGAATCAGATCTTGCAGGGGTGAATCAGGGCTACAATATAATGATGACTTCCGCGCCCCGACGGTGACGAGGTTCATTAGGTGATCACCATTGAAGCACGGACGTTCCTGCGCCGAGTCGAGAGCACGAGGTCGGCGCTTTTTGCTCCAAAACACACACTTGACAGGAACCGCACCCGCTGTTCAGGAGAAGGTGAGCGCCAGGCCAAGAAGAAGAACACCACCACAGCAAGAAAGCGCAACTCACTCTCTCCGCTCCCTCGCACACCAAAGACACAAAACCGCTGCCGCCGGCCGCCCTCGGCAGCCATCGCTACTTGGTCTGGCTCTGCGCCTGCTTGACGGCAGTAAGCCGCTTAGACCGTAGCGTGGGCGCAGGAGGCGGAGCCTTTTCCTTGCCCTTTGCTGTCCCACTTCCAGTCGTACCTGTCCCCACGCCTGCCCCACTTGCAGAAGGATTCCCAGCACTTCCACCAGCGCCAATTGGTCCACCAACACCGACACTCGTGGTCCCGCCTATTCCTGCTGTGGATACACCAGCACCAGCAAGATTTGTGACCGCATTCACACCCATTGCAGCACTTGTTGTCGAGGATGCATTCATATTACTTGCATTTCCAGAACTCGCCCCAGGATTGGAGGACAGTCCCGCCGGCAAGTTTTGTCCGCGGAAGGCCGGTGCTTTCCCAATGTCATCCTGCGTAGCAAATCCAGGTACACGGATGGCGTGCTGTTTCTCTAAGATTGTTTATGTGTCGCGGCAGCATTGAAATGATAACGACGCGGCAGGATAGTCAGAATTCCCACAGTGCAGGTGATGTGAGAGTCGTTGGTTATTCATGTTTTCGTTCGATGGAAAAGTAAGACCAGCCAGCGGAGGGGGTTGGCGATCAGGGACGGCGGATAGGTGGGAGAATGGGCGGCGGAGAGATAAAAGGGGGCAGAAAACGTGATACGGTTGTTCATTACGGTGGCCAATGTTGGGTCGATCGTTCATTTTGTGGCGTGGACAGTGTAGACGATGAGCGATGAAGCGAAAAAGGTTTACGCGAGATTCATTCAAGCCCAGGAGATATTGCGATTGGCAGTGTTGATTCAATGAGTCCAGACATAGTGAGGCGGGAGGGGGAGCAGATGTCGTCAGCTCGGGTCTCGGCAAGTCCATCATGAATATATGCAAGAGAGCGCCACAGCCGTGCAATTTGATGCTAGCTTCGACGTCGAGGAATATCATACGATGTGATACCACGTCGGCGTCCTCAAGACGTCTTGTGACCTGATGCTCCGACGGCGATATCTGGTCCACGCCACATTCAAAACAAGGAAGCGGCCTCGAGGATCACTCACCAAGATGCAATTGTAGATCTTTGACCTCTAACGACTCCGCCCCGCGATGTCGCGCTAACCGGGCCGCGAAATTGGTCGTGCTCTCTACAAATTCGGAAGCGACTGACAACAACATCTAGAGTCAAGATCCGATGGGAGCCACACAAGAAGCAAACTAGGTAAGTAATAGGCACATCACTGGGGGCAATACCATAGTAGAGTGGAAATAGGAACGTCTTGATTCGTAATCCCTTCAGGCACTCATCAAAGAAAGTGATCAAGTTCATACATCACAGCATGCCAAGTGCGAAGACAATGCCGTCATCGCCAAAGGGTGAAAGCAATGAATTAACAGAATACGTATGCTTACATCTTCAGCATCCGCATCGAGCTTGACATATGGGTCAACACTAGCGACCAAATCTCGAATGGTTTGGCGCATTTGCTGCTCAGCTACCGCATCTGTTTTGAGACCGACTCCTATTGTGGGTGGTGCGGGGAGGGGTGTCGGCGGAGTCTGTGTTAACGGGGTGGCTGTCGTGAAAGTACAACGTGTTGTTCAAGGAGTGGTCAATTTCACAGAGTTAATATACAGACATGATCAAGCAAGGGGGGATTAGCCATTAAAGGAGATCATCGAGGCACACGGAATCTTAATATCACCTGGTTTCTGGAATCCAGTGGCACCTAGGGCCGTAGAGCTCATTATGGGAGTAGGTTTGGAGGTCGAGGCCATAGCGAATCAATAGAAGGTTGTAGGTAGGCGAACTGACGGCAGGAAGAATATAGAGACACGCGATTGAACTTCGACCTAACGAGCAGGCAAACAGCTATGGATGCACTGGAGCCTCGAGTGACTGTGGCCTTTGGCTGAGGCTACTGTTGTTTAATGTTTGGTAGGCCTACAAATAAGGCAAAACACGACACTAAAGGGCTTGAGCAAAACGCTTGAAATTATAGAGTCGCGTCAGGAGGTGTATCTTGCAAAACGAGGCGCAACCTTAGTCTCGATGCTAAAATGGTAGGAATCGTGTGTTGGAGGAAGAGAAAAAAGATAAGTTCCGCGACAGGGAATCGAACCCTGACCTCAGCTGCCCTTCTCATGAGAGAGCTGCATCATAGCCATTAGACGATCGCGGACTTGTTGGCGCTGAGCCCCCTTTACCATATATGACTGTAAGTATAAATTTGTACATGTTGTCATCCGTTTGTTCAAGATATCCACATATATGAGAGAGCCTTCCTTCCGTCAGAGAAGCCAGAGACTTTACCTAACTCAACACGACGTGCTTAAAGCTCTGGCCCACCATACGTCACATAAATATTGATATCTTGTCGTTCTTGCTCTTTTGTGTCGTCAACTTCTGAGGAAGTGATATCGTACTATCCACGTTCAGCGACCTCGTTCGTTCAATACCCGTTACTTGCGGTACCTAGCGTTTGGATGATGAGACGCTACTCTACCTTTCTCTCTCATCGTCTTGGAATGGGCCCCGCACCGCCCCCTCAAACCAACCAACCTGAAAATAATAGCGCTCTGATTCCAATCGAATCCCCACCTAATGATGTATCGAGCTCCCTTGCAATTCGCCCTACAGATAATCCACGCGTCACCTTCAATGAGCGAGCTGGCCTTAGTCTTCTCCAAAGTCTTCCGAAGGACATAACCATCCTGATCCTCAGCAGCTTGGATCCTCGTGACATTGATGCGGTCAGCCAGGTTTGTTATGGCATCGCCTTATCAACTCAAGAGCGTTCCGGAAATCTAATAAACCCTTGTAGACATGTCGCTCGCTTCGCTTGTGCGTAGATGATGAAACCATATGGGTACAAGCTTGGGCGAACGGAGGCCGATCGCTTCCTCCATTACAACCCCCAAAGCTCCACATCCCAACCAGTGACTCCTTCTTTATTCCTTCAGGAAATCTACCCTTCAATTACGTTCCGGCGACAGCTAGAGTTGAGCGCCTCTATAGCTCTCAGCCATCTTCAGGACACACCAGCAAGATAGACATTGATATTGCCCAAGATCATCGCGATCTTTACCGACGCATTACGCGGGTCCAGGCTCGCTTATCATGCGCAGAGCCAACAATATATGAACTTTGCGCCGTGCTAGGCGATTGTGACTCTCATAGCAATCGGAATTTCTATCGCATGACATTCTCCAGTTTTGGGCGTATCTTCGCCCTTTGGTTGACCACTGAAATTCGGCTGCTAGATCTCGAGAAAAACCTGGTGTACCATATTCCCATCAGGACGTTCGGACCGATCGTCCATAATGGCACATGGATGTCTGACCTCTTTGTCGAAGTCTTTCGGTATGAAGGTGAAGAAGGGATTTTAGTTGCCGCATTCGCGTAGTAAGTTCGGTAAGACGAAACGACCGCCTCATTGCTAATAGCCATCATAGTACTCAAAGAGAGCTCAGCTTATTATTCCTGCCATTCACTGCCGCCGATGCTCCAGTAGAGTCTCCTCCCATAGTGAAATACCTATTCAGTTTAGGACTCAGGGCTGACGCAACTGCCCAGACGTTTTACATGTCCCAAGACTTCCTCATCATCGGAGATAAAGCTCACGGAACCTTTGTAACTCGCGTCCTCAACCTTATCACAGGAGATGTGGTTTCATTCAATACTGAGGTAATGTTGATCGCCTCGACGATTGCTCCATAATTCACGGGTAATGTTCTTCAATAGTTTGAGCCACGTCAGGCTCGGGTCCTTGATGGAGAATATTTGATATTCCTCGACCAAGATTCTCGGGTCGTTATTTGCCAGCTTCCAGCCATAGACCGCTGCGCTAAGTTTTCCATCACTTCCAATAATCCCTTGATGCCATCAAATGCTCCCCCAGCATGCTCTCGGCTATTATTGCCCCGATACAGCGTGCGGAATGGAGCATCTGGACGACCGGCTGCACCAGTCTGGCATGCCACCAGATCTCGCGCTAAGCCTCCATCAAAATGGAAATTGACTAGCGCTCTCAGCCACCCTGCTCCACCGAACTGCTGCTGGAGCATATCGCTAGATAGGCTCGAGCTTCCAAACTCGTCCCCCGAGATTGCCCATAAACGTACCCCAAACTTCGACTTGACCTGTGACCTCTTATACCACCATAGAAATCGGTGGCTGCTTCCAAAGGCGGGGATGACCGAAGCCCTTTTACATTCCTGGCAACCAGGAAATCAGCGAGTAGTGGCGCTCGTCTATCCTTTGGATCATCCTCCAGATGGTAACCAAGCCACTCTCGCTCGCTTACTGGTTTGCGAGTTATCTGATGATGGGAAGTATGTCGTTAGCAAAGAGCTTTCACTACGATCCCCTCGGGATGGAGTCGAAGCTGTTTCACCTTTCGGCGTACCCGAGATTCACCATTTGTTCGAGTGGAATGACGTCTCTGGAAGACTAGCGATTATGTCCACGACCAAGAATAGAGAAGGGCACGAGCTGATTACTGTAAATCTGTACCGCGTCTGATAATCGCGTCTATGGCGCGGCTCGAGCGCCACTACCAACTTATCGTGCTTTTCGGAGAGCTCAGAACTTATCGCTGAGATCCTGAAGGAGCTTCATGATTTTGTTCCTCAGGTTCTGTGACACCATCTATTTCGGAATAAGGCTTCTGCGCACATTTTAGAGTCACCTTGGCAGTCTCATATCGCCTGCGACAGAACATATCACACATCGGGCCAGATCATTGCTAGCGCCAGCTTCCAATCGCCGCGTATTGGAGGTCTCGCTCCGGTTGCTGCTGTAACATCTTCACCTCCATCCCGAAATCCATTTACGTCTCTCAATATACGCGTGTTTCTTCATCCTTGACAATGTTTTTCAGCTCGTGAGCTGTTTCACTTGGCAAAATTCTCTCCCGAATCCCCCTTGGTTCCAACGTTAGTGGCTACGTGCCCTTGGATTTTCTAGGACATTAATGCGGTAACCATTTTGACCTAGGCCACATGCTGTCTGATGACGTGCTTTTTGCCTATGATCCAGAGAGCGGTGTAGATAGATGAAGTCCTCGAACGCTCGGAAGGCATGGCAGATTTCGTTCATATTCATATCTCATGATAGTGATATTGACTTCAACTTCAACCATTAGAATCCATGATCAACTCCATCACCCACATCATTGCAGCAGGGATGGGGACATACAATAGATTATTTGCCAGGAGCTACAATATATTAGTTATTTCCTGATATCTGATTTGACGCACGTGAGCGCAATGAGTCCGGTGACCTGTAGAGCTTTCTGACTGCTTCGTTCTGCTGTCATACTGGCTAACACCGTGTTATTCCGTGTTATCTTTCACATTCGTGGAAGTATTACACACTCGAGAATGTGGCTTATGACACGAACTCGCAAATAACTTTATAATGCGAAAAACAGTACACTTCCGATGGAAAAAGCCATGCGCTGTGACGCCCGCGGTGCCACCAACCTTGTCGAAGATCTGGCGACGGCAACGGGCTTCTTGTAAGCGTGATTCTTTGCAAACGCATGGGACCACAGGCTATACTGTGCGAGAAAAAGCCACATCGAGTTTCTAACCTCACATATTGTATGGGCTTGGCGGCCGACGGAAAAGTTCTGGGGCATTGAAAATCAAGCCCTTGCGGCTGCTCGACGTCTCCACCGCAGCAGAGTTTATCACAGCATGAAAGAGGCACAGTGGCCGTCGTGGCGCTACTTCCGTGAAATGACAGATACTGGAATGTGAGGTCTCGGATCTTGGGAATGAGGATAACAATCCAAGGAATGGAGACGGATTCTTAGAGCCACCTCCAAGTTTCTTCCACAAAGCAACTGATGCAAAGGGATATTATTACTCAAGAATGCTTCTCTCAGGGAAAGAGAGGAGACCAAAAAAAAAAATTGCATTAGCGGCGAATCGAACGCCGGCCGAGTCGATGGCAACGACCCATTCTACCACTGAACTACTAATGCTCGCTTGGAGCAAGGAGCTCACTTGACTAATACGTTGTTTATGCCATCCGTGATTCGTTTTCCATAAATATCTGTTTGTCATTCCCGATAGATTGATACTGTGCGAGCTGAAATCACTGGTGGTACTGAGGCTGAGGCTTTTGCCCTCCTCGTCAGGCAGTTGTCGGGTCCTTGCTTATGCATGTCAGATGACACATCCATTATGACAGCCCACGACACGCGGCCCATCGAGGCCCGATGGCTTCTCCTTGGGATCAACGGGCGTGGGGTGTGACTTGTTTGATATGAAGCCAACGGAAATTAATTACAGATGATTTGCCCAGCGACTTCGAGGATCGTAGCTGCTGATGATCTGGGCCGCCCGACGGCGGTTCGGTCATCGTCGTCTGATGGGAGGAAGGATACAGAGCGTGAAATATTGGAGTAATTGCAAACATCGTTCGCGTCCCCTAACTATGGAGGGAAAGTTCGTCCCACAGAGCGGCACAGCAGAAATCTTGATTGCCCAGGCTCATCTTGACGATGTCAACCGGGATGCGCAGTGAATCGTTCCTGGGAGAGCTGTCAAAATTTGTGATTCATAGTCCGCCGTACTTGGCCCTTATTTGAGGACTAATTAGCGTGATGGGAGTGTGAGATCGCGGTGTCCAGCTCCGCCTGGCTCGTTTTCCTGGAAAATTGTCAGCCCGTTTAGGTTTTGTCCTAGCTAATAACTTTACTCACCATCGAGCGCTGTCTTCTAAGATCGTGAGATAGGCGCTGAAGCACGAGGGTACATTGTGCTTCACATGATACAGATTCGCAGTGTGCTCGGGGCTGAGCGAATATTGCGTCTACAACCAAGATCTTCCTCCAATACACCGGGTGTCGGGAAAGCCGAGAGCCATGTACTATTTGAACTCACCTGGCCCAGACAAAATTCGCGTAGATCGTATTCAGAATGGTGCCTGTGGTCCTAATTGCGCTGAAGATCTCCACGCATCGATCCTCGATGTCATGCCCAAGGCAACTGAGGGAATAATGTTTTTTGTTTTGTTTTTCGGTTGTTGAGTGGAGATGACTTGGATTTGATGACTGTGATTGACCTCGTTATGACGCACGTCGAGCCCGCCCCAGGCAATGGCTTGAGTCCGCGTCGCTAATTGCCGCACTTCATGATTGATGATTAGCGGAGGATCGACGGCAGCACG